GGTTTGACGTTTGGTGTATGAGTTCGCAGAGAAGAAACTTGCCAGACAAAGTGTTTCTGGCTTTCTATGGAATGGGAGGCAGGAATGGGAATATATTTTGTAAAAATACATTGTTGAATTTTTTTGAGATTATAGAGGCTACCAGATGTAGCGGATTTAAGCATAATTATGACCGATTTTTTAAAACCCCCATCTTTATATGGCTTCTTACCTCATACATCCATGTGACACTTTATGACATTATCCGAAATTTTGAAATTTGTTCAATTTGAACCAGTATAACAGTTATAGAAAACTGTTATACATGGTCATAAAAGCTTAAATTTTCCTAGGTCAGAAATTATGTAATTAAATATCAAATATATTAGGATTTTTCCGAGTATAACAGTTGTGAAAAACTGTTATACACTCACTAAAAGTGTTAGACGACCAAGTTTTGTGGTATTAACATGGTTACAAAAGGTTAAAGTTTGGTAGCACAGAGATTATTTAATTAAATACCAAATATCCTAAGATTTTAACGTGTATAACAGTTGTGAAAAACTGTTATACACTCGCTAAAAGTGTTAAATGACGCCGTTTTGGGGTTTTATATAATATTTTTAATTATTTATCAATTTATTTTCATTTTATAACAGTATAACAGTTATAATAAACTGTTATACATGTTTGTAAAAGCCCAAAAACTGTCAAAAACACACATTGTGTAATTAAATATTATATATTCTAGGATATTGCCGCGTATAACAGTTGTAAAAAACTGTTATACACTCACTAAAAGTGTCGACGAGATTTTGTGGTATTATATAACATTTATGAACATTTTTTCAATTAAAAACGGTATAACAGTTAAAATTTCGGGTCAAAGGTGAAAAATTTGCAGTTAAAATTTAAAGCAAACTGTTATACATGGATATGTAAGGCTAAAGTTTGCTAGAACAGACATTATGCAATTAAATATCAATATACTAGGATTTTACCGTGTATAACAGTTGTGAAAAACTGTTATACACTCCCTACAAGTATAAGACTATGAAATTTTGTTGTATTATATAATATTTGTGAACATTTTTTCAATTAAAAACGGTATAACAGTTACGACAAACTGTTATACATGGTTGTGGAAGGTTAAAATTTCGGGTCTAGAAAATACATTATATAATTATATATCAAATATATTAGGATTTTTCCGAGTATAACAGTTGTGAAAAACTGTTATACACTCACTAGAAGTGTTAGACGACGTAGTTTTGTGGTATTATCTAATATGTATAAAAAAATTTAAAATATATGAGGATTTTATAGACTATAACAGTTATAGCAAACTGTTATATGCTCACTAAAAGTGTTAGACGATGAAGTTTTGTGGTATAATTTAAAATTTATTAACATTTTTTCAATTAAAAACTGTATAACAGTTACGACAAACTGTTATACATGATTGTAGAAGGTTAAAATTTTAAGTTCAAAAATTTCCTAATAACAGCCATTATGCAACTAAATTTCAAATATTCTGCAATTTCACAGTGTATAACAGTTGCGAAAAACTGTTATACACTCATTAAAACTACTAAAAACGAAGTATAGAGACTATACACCAATATAATGTGATTTCTCAAGGTATAACACTTCAATTAAGTGTAATGCTGGCATAGAAACTGTTATAAAATGGATATGATGTTCGTATAGAAGATAAACAATTTCTAGATAGTTTCCGCTGTATTGTTTTAATTTCTTTCAATAAATAAATGTAAATAATTTTTTATTTAATTGTATAAATACATTTTATTTAATTACGCATCCACATATAAAATATTTCAACACTTGTTGTGTAAACAGCGCATTTAATTAATCAATAAATTATTTCTAATAATCCATTCAAAACAAAAATGCATTAGAAATTATCATAAAATAATAAAAAACAAATTGTTTTTTTGTGTTTTGTCTTTCAATGCAAATTTTTATTGTCTTTTCACAAAAAGCAACAAATGTATTTCACAATAATATTTTAGTTTGAAACCTTGATGTATCTCTCAATCGAAGTGCATTCTAATTTGATAAACGTGTAGCTGTGTTTTGAAAAAGAGAAGGCGGAGTCAAATTGTGGTTTAATGTGGAGATTTTTGAATGATCTGAATATGAAAAGGAAATAAAATAGATATGTGTGAGTAAATCTCTGAGTCTACATCTGTATTCTACAATGAGGGGCAGACAAGCAAACACCTTAAACTTGATTCAAAAACTATTGTGATTGGTGGAATAGTAATTTGGAGAGTTATATATTGCATGGGATCAGAAACAAGAAATATTGAATATAAAAAACAAAAATCGAATATAATAAAAATCTTAATCACAAAAAAAGTACCTATTTTAATGAAAAATAACAAATTTACTTTGTATAACAGTTATGAAAAACTGTTATTCGACCTCAGAAACTTTTAAATATCCACCAAAATAGGACCAACTTTCATTAAAAATGAAAATTGTTTGATTTAATCTAGTATAACAGTTATAACAAACTGTTATACATCGTTAAAATTTGTAAAAATCCACTAAAATAGGACCAACCTTCATTACAAATGAAAATTGATAAATTGAATCCAGTATAACAGTTATAACAAACTGTTATACATCGTTAAAAATTAAAAATAAATGTCGAAAAAATTAGGTTTCGTTATTGTACGTGAAATATTAAGAATTTTCACTAAGTATAACACTTTCGGCAAACTGTTATACATTGATTTAAAGCGTTATAATGCTGTAAAATGAAGTTTTTTCGTATTATTTAGCGAGAGAAATTGGTGGCACTAAAAATTATGGGACTTCAAACTGTTATACAAAGGCCTTTTACAGATAATGTAACCAAAACTTCGGAAGACGGGGAACAAAGTTTTTCCCTCTCTTCCTCGAAAAATCCGATTTAAAACTGACATGTCACGCCATTACAAGTCACTGTAACATTCTGGTCATAAAGGAAGGGAAATACTACAGTGGGTACGAAGTCGTTCATAACATATTTGACTGTGTATAACAGTTTCCCATAACTGTTATACGCATTAAAAATATAGTTTTCCAACATTTCTGTCATTAAACTAGTATTTATAACTGTTATACAGTGTTGGAATCGTATATATTTGTTAGCGAACAACAACGAGTAAAACGAGCAGTCTATATAACAGTTTTAAATGTAGAGAATTTTTTCCCATAACTGTTATACAAAATAAGAAAAATTATTTTCGGCACATATTTTATCTATGTTGCATATATAACAGTTGGAATTGGATATAACAGTTTCATATAAGTGTTATACAAACTAAAAACCACACCTTTCACATATTTCCAATCGGCGGATTAAATTAGAGGTCGTTACAACAGTTTTAACTGTGTATAACAGTTTTCTATAACTGTTATACAAAGGAGGAAAATGTATTTTTACATGTATTCGATCTACGAGTCATGTATAACAGTTTGAGCTGTGTATAACAGTTTTCTATAACTGTTATACAAACTAAAAACCACACCTTTCACATATTTCCAATCGGCGGGTTAAATGAGAGTTCGTTATAACAGTTTTAACTGTGTATACCAGTTTTCTATAACTATTATACAAAGGAGGAAAGCTTATTTTGAACACATATTCAAGGTATGACGCATATATAGCAGTTTGAACTGTGTATAACAGTTTTCCATAACTGTTATACACACTAAAAACCACACCTTTCTAATATTTCCAATCAATGAGTTAATTGAGATGTCGTTATAACAGTTTCCTGTAACTGTTATACAAAAGAGGAAAGCGTATTTTGGACACGTATCCAAGTTATGATGCATATATGTATAACAGTTTGAATTGTGTATAACAGTTTTCCATAACTGTTATACCCACTAAAAACCACACTTTTCACAATACATCTCATTGGCGGGTTAAATGAGAGGTCTTTATAACAGTTTTAACTGTGTATAACAGTTTCCTATAACTGTTATACAAAAGAGGAAAGTGTATTTTGGACACGTATTCGATCTACGAGTCATGTATAACAGTTTGAACTGTGTATAACAGTTTTCTATAACTGTTATACAAAGCAAAAAACTCATTTTTAAATATTTCCAATCATTGGAAGTCCTCCAATATGTATTCTGTGGGAAGTAGACCCATATCAGGTCACATATGTATTAATATTCAAGTCATCTTAATACTGAATCCTAGGTCAAGTCCCATCCAGCTTTAATTACAATGCTTATTTGTTTATTGTCTTCCGTCAATTAATCCATTGTAGTTTTATAAATTGTTTAACAATTTTCACAGAAAAAAACACACACATATATTTTTCTAACATTATTTCTTTATAACTTTTTATGGTTGTAGGTCTGTTAATATGACTACATTTTAGAAAAAAAAAAACAATCGTTAAGGCACCCCACTTTTGGCGTGGCAATAAATGCGTTACGCTTTGGAGTTTCCATGCCGGTGTCGTTAGTTAGCATTGTAGCATGCAGGGACTGCGTTAGAGAGGGAGGGAGTATGTGGTAATAATTTCAAGTTAATGACAAAATTACTTAAAGCAGTCATTGTATGTCTGTCTCTCAGTTTGTTTCTCTAATAGGCTAATAAGTTCAGAAACACACACACAACGACATGTATATGTGTGTGTGGGGAATCCACACATTTGAGCGACGCCAGACAACTTCGTCTAAATCACTTCACTTCACTCTAGCTATGAAGACTGGAGAACAACATGCAACAATCATCAACTTTGGGTAAATATTTGTTTAAATTATTAAAGAAAAAAAAAATAGAAAACGAAGGCGACGAGAAAAACAAATAGCAAAAAAAAATAATAATAATAATAATATCTACCACGCTAACATTATTAAATATTATTTAAACGCTGTGATTTAAATAAGTTGGCTAACTGCCGGAGATAATTGAAAGTCGTATAACAGTTAAACTGGCAATTCATAGATAATTTTAAAAATATTTTATTTCTTTCAAGACTTACCCTCTCCTCTTCTCTTATCATTTCGGCTATTTCCGGTTTAATTTCCATATCATCGTGATGTGAAGAACTGGCTCCTGCGGGATTACTGGCTGTTGTGGAAGCTCCTGCTGCTGCCGCTGCCAATGAGGCCCCCAAGGCACTGGCCATGGCATGGGAATGGGCAGCGGCCTGCAGTTGCTGATGTTGGGCGGCCAATTGTTGAGCCGCTGCGGCGGCATGGTGATGCGGATGATGAGGATTTGCCAGGGCGGCAGCGGCCACTGCAGCTGCTGCCGGATGGGGATGTATTGAAATGGGCGGCGGTGGTGGTGGTCCCGAGGAATTACTTGAGGGCGAGGGCAAGGAGGAGGGTGTGGCGGTGTTACCACCAACACTGGCAGATCTACTGCCAACATGTGTGGGGGTCATCAGGGGCGGGGAACAGCTACGCTCGCCTGATGGACGATACTGTAAGGCTACGGGATTTGTGTTGGAGGAAGCAGCAATGGAGGGGGACGCAGTTTGAGCTGAATTTAAGTGGGAGCCAGAAGCTGAGCCCGCTCCCTCTCTGCAGGAGGAGGTGGAGGAGGAAGATGCATTTAAGGCTGTTGTATCATCCAGGGGCGTTGTGGTGCCCAAAGGATTGGGGGAAGCAAAGGGATTGCGTACAATGGTCGAAGTGGTTATAGAGCCGGGATTGACGGGTGGTGAAACCCCACAACTTTCCTTGTCCTTTAGCTGTGGCCCAGATAAATCCCCTAGATTTCGTGTATTATTGTTATTATTATTATTCCCCGGACTCTTGGGTGTCATCCTACCATCCTGCACAAAAAAACCATCGCGAGAACGTTTACGCATTCTCTGCTCCGCCATATTCATAACTTCTTCCACAGGTGCTGTGGCCATTCTCTGTGACACCTGGATTTTTCTTCGCTTGGCATTCGGCGAAGCATCCTGATCATCATTATTATTTCCCTCATCGTCGTCCTGCTCCTCCTCCTCCTCTTCATCCTCCTGATACATGGGACGATGTCCGGGCAATACCTGGGAACCCATTCCCTGCGTACTGCTAACCTCGGCCAAACCTCGAATTTTCAACATTTCGGCCACCTTTAGTAGAGGATTGATTTGATCCTGACTAACATTTATCTCACCCTTGTACATGAACTCCATCAAGGCCTTAAGCTCCTGCCATCGCACATCACGCATAATGACAATGGGATGTTGACAGGGGTTGTCATAGAACAAGGCTTGGAAATATGGCGAACAGGCGGATAAAATCATTTTATGGGCCTTTATGGAGTGGCCCTCACAGGCCAGGGTGACATCCACAAATGATTCATTTTGCAGCAGCTCATCGAAGACATTGGTCAGGTTGCTTTGATAGTTATTCCAGCGCAGGCAGAATTGTTGATTGTTGCGGCCAGGTTCTGGCAAGGCTTTGCTTGCAGCCTTGGGCAATACTTTGGGTATTAGGTTTGTGAGCAGCCTCTCCTCAAGGGTATCGGGAATTTTGGTGGTGGGAGCATCCAATGACTTCATGGCTGCAAAACCAAACAGCTCCCCTAAGTGGGTAGGGGCCAAGTGGTTGGGAGAGGCTGGCAATGATCGTGATTTGTTCAATGCCACCGTGGCATCCAGTTGCATTTCAGGATCCTCAATTGCATTTGTGAAACCCACCACCTCACTGGAAGTCAGGGGTCTGGGTGGGGGTGATATATCACCACTCATGGTTGGCTTAACACTGCTCTCCTGTGTGGCCACACTCTCAATTAGTTGGGGTGTTGTGGGTTTTGCCATTACTTCGGGAGGAGTTTTCATTGTTGTTGTTGCTGTTGTGGTTTCTGTTTCATTTGTAGTTGTTGTTTTTGTATTTGTTTTATCATTTGTCTCTGATTGTGTAGCCTGCGCTTGTTGTTCTTCTACTTGCTGTTGTTCTGGACAGTTAGACGGCTCACTGAACATATTGAAATCATTTGCCTCTGGCATCATGGGTTTCGTACTCTCACCGAGATCCATTTCGCCACGTTCTACTTTTAGGGTAAAATCTAAAATATCTTTTGTAAAATCCATCCTTTTATTGGGTGGGGTTATATATCTCAGTTTTCTATTCCCAATTTGCCAGGGGGCATTTTATGGGAGGTCATTTAGTGGGATAGAATAGGGAGTAGATGCTTTGAATTCTGAAAATAAAAAGGAAGGTATTCGATATTAGACCGATGTAGACGTAAAAATGAAAAAAAAAATAGTTATAAAAATTAGAAGTGCCATGAAATTCGTTTCGGGACATTTGGAGTTGATTTAGCGATGTCCGTCCATTCGTCCGTCTGTCTGTCTGGCTGGTTGTGCGCACGATAACTCTCCAAGGGAGTATCTGATTTTGCCCAAACTTGAAACATCATAATATTTTTGTCGAACTTATATCGACTTCGAAGATGGGCCCTATCGGTTCACTTTTTCTGGTACCTCCCCCACAAAAGATCGGAATTTGAAAAAAAAACACACAACAGCGACATTATTCACCGGAATTGTTTCAAATTTGGTATTTGCAATTCGCAATGAATACTACAGCCTAAGACAGAAATTTGTCTGTGCAGGTCAACGTCTTCGTATAGCCCCCATATAACGTACCTCCCGATATTCGGTATTTTGATGATTTTAGCGACATTATTCACCGGAGTCGTTTCAAATTTGGTATTTGAATTTCGTAATGGATACTAAAGCCTAGGACAGAAAATTGTCTATGCAGGCCCACGTCTTCGTATAGCCACCATATAACGGCACCACCCCATTTTCGGTACTTTGATGATTTTAGCGACATTATTCACCGCAATTTGTTCAAATTTAGTATTTGAAGTTCGTAGTGAATACTTAAGCCTAGGACAGAAAATTGTTTATTCAGGTCCACGTCTTCGTATAGCCCCCATATAACGTAACCTCCCCATTTTCGGTATTTTGATGATTTTAGTGGAATTATTCGCCAGATCTTTTTCAAATTTGGTATTTGAAGTTCGGAATGGATACTACATCCGATGACAGAAAATTGCCTCTGCAGGTCCACGTCTTCGTATAGCCCCCATTTGACGCTACCCCCTTATATTCGGTACTTTGATGATTTTAGCGAAATTATTCACCGGAATCGTTTTAAATTTGGTATTTGAAGTTCGTAATGGATACTACAGCCTATGACAGAAATTTTTCTGTGCAGGTCCACGTCTTCGTATAGCTCCCATATAACGGTACCTCCCGAAATTCGGTATTTTGATGACTTTTGGCGACATTTTTCACCGGAATTGTTTCAAATTTGGTATTTAAAGTTCGTAACGGCTACTACAGCCTAAGACAGAAAATTGTCTGTGCCGTTCCACGTTTTCGTATAGCCCCCATATAACGGTGTCACACGATATTCAATATTTTGATGATTTTAGCGACATTATTCACCGGAATTGGTTCAATTTTGGTATTTGAAGTTCGTAACGGATAGTAGAACCTAAAACAGAAAATTGTCTGTGCAGGTCCACGTCTTCGAATAGCAGCCATATAATGGTACCTCCCGATATACGATTTTATCTATTTTTTTTAAGTTTCGCATTTGAATATTCTAATGGCTTATGACAAAATATGCCTATGCAGGCCCACTTCGTCGTATAGGCCCTAATATAACGGCTAAATTCGGTATTTTAAGGATTTTTACAGACGGAATTTAATTTAATTTTTTTGAATTTATTTTATTAATTTTTTTATTTATTTATTTTTATTTTTTTTTATTTTTATTTTATTTTTTTTATTTTAATTATTATTTTAATTTTATTTTATATTTTATTTTATTTATTTATTTATTTATTTTTTATTTTATTTAACTATTTATTTATTTTTTTATTTTTATTTTATTTTTTTTTTATTTATTTATTTATTTATTTTTTTTTTTTTTTTGAAAATTACCCAAAATTGTTTCAAATGGTGGAAGGTATTCAAAATTCACCCCTGCCGAAATTACAGCTTTTTTACTTGTTCGGATTAAAAATGTCAATTTTTGTCTAGCCCCAAAATAATAGTGGCGCCCAATTACAGTTTTCATTACTTTTCGAAAATGATTTGCTTTTTTAAGAGATCTTGTGAGAAAATTCTCCATCCCTCTCCAGGTCCTGTTTCTGCTGCCTTTAATTGTCCTTGTCTTCTGGTCATTTCCAAACAAAGGCAAATCAAAATTCCAAAATTATTCTTTGTCCTTTAATTTCCCTCCTTGCCTTGTGGCAAATTTTCGAAACAAGAGCGAAATATTTTATGATTTCTCTTATTTAGTTATATTTATTTTAAATAATTAATTATGTCAAAAAAAACCCACCCTATCACACGCACTCCAACGCTCGCTGCCAGGGAGCATCCTCTCACACTCCACTCACCACTTGCTCTCCCAAAAAAATTTTTTTGTTGCTAACTTCAGAGGAAAATGTTCGCTGATGATTGTTGGCGCTTATTATTAAAATGTAAATGAGGCAGGCCAGAGAGTGAGTAAGTGAGCGAGCGACGGCTTCAAACAGCAAAGGATAAATGACAGTTTGAATAAATAAATGACGAAACGCCAGACGACGAGGTGATAGTCTGTCCAACCAACTGGCCATCTTTGTCGAGAGTAACTAAAGTAAATAATTATCCATCGAATAATTGCTGGTTGTAGTGAACCAAAAAGCCAGAAGTGGGTTGTTTGGAAGGCTCTGTGGCCCGACAACTCATACCAGCCAACCCAAGCGACAACAAACAATCCATACCAACAAAAAAACAGAACAGAAACGAAGAGCGACGGCAGCAATGCCTTCCTCCTTCTGTCGTCTCATAAATAATAAATTTATGAATACACGCGCGCTTTTGAACATTCACAAAAAAAAAAAAATGCTCACTCACACACACACACGCACGCACACACAAAAGCTTACGCCTTGCGTAAGAAATTTATGCATTTTAATAATTTATTTAATTTAATTAAATTTATTTCTTTTTTATTCGGTTTTCAATGTGCGTTCGTTTCACAATACGCGGCCACTCACACACAGAGACAGAGACACAGCTCAGTACAGCACACACACACACACACACACTCAGAGAACTCATAAACAAGAACATTGGCATCAGCCATCGACAAAATTTATACTCTGCTCCTAAGTGAATGAACGTAGGAACGTACGAAGCGTACCGTACGTTGCAGAAACCGAACAGCCAGCAGTGACTCTGTGGCAGCAACAGCAAAAGCGTGTGGCATGCTTCATTTACGTGCTGCCAGAATTCTGTGGTTTCCCAGTGAACATTACGCCGTCGCTCTTTCGCTCCTTTCGCTGTTGTTGTTTTCTGTATGTACAGGGTGAGATGAAACAACTGCAACAAAGTCAAACGCCATAATTTTTACATTTTTATACCCTCCACTATACTATGGAGGTGGAATTGTTTCAAATTTGGTATTTGAAGTTCGTAATGGATACTACAGCCTTTGGCGGAAGATTGTCTGTGAAGGTCATAACTTGTCATTCCCTTTGTAACTCCTCGAAATACTCATGTCAGACCCAACAAAGTATATATATTCTTGATCAGCGTAAAATTCTAAGTCGATTTAGCCATGTCCGTCTCTCCGTCTGTCTGTCTGTTGTAATCACGCTATATTTCGAACGAATTGAGATAGAAGGCTAAAATTTTGCACACCTGTTTATTTTTCCAGTAGGCAGGATAAGTTCGTAAATGGCCCATGTAGGTCTACGTTTTCATATAGACCCCATATAACGGTACCTCCCGATATTCAGTATTTTGATGGCGATTTTAGCGACATTATTCACCGGAATTGTTTCAAATTTGGTATTTGAAGTTCGTAACGAATACTTCAGCCTATGACAGAAAATTATCTGTGCAGGTCCACGTCTTCGTATAGCCCTCATATAACGGTATCTCCCAAAATTCGGTATTTTGATGATTTTAGCGTCATTATACACCGGAATTGTTTCAACTTACGTATTTAGAGTTCGTAATGGGAACTACAGTCTGTGACAGAAAATTGTCTCTGCAGGTCGAGGTCTTCGTATAGGCCCCATATATCAGTACCACCTCCCTATATTCGGTACTTTTGATGAGTTTAGGTGCAATACCCACCGAAATTTTTTTATATGTCGTATTTGACGTTCGTGATAGTTGCTATAGCCTGTGACAGAAAATTGTCTATGCTGGTCCAGGTCTTCGCGCAGCTCCGATATAACGGTACCTCCCTATATACGATATTTTGATGATTTTAGCTACATTATTCAAGGTTTATTTCTAGTTTCGAATTTGAATATGGTAATGGCTTATGACAAACAATTCCTATGTGGGTCCACGTCGTATAGACCCCAATTTCGTTCCAAATGGTGGAGGGTATTCAAAGTTCGGTCCGGCAGAACTTACTGCTTGTAACTGGCTTAATTTTATTGAATGAAAACAAAAAATTCGGAAATAGCATCAAACTTTAGAATAAATTTAGATTTCTTCGAATTGATCACCTTTGGCACGAATTATGGCCTCCAAACGGCCAATGAAATCGCCATACGCTACCCGAATGTTGCTCTGCGGAATTTGGTCCATTCCCGGCGAAGCTTGAGTTGATCGACACTTTGGTATTTTTTTTTTTTTTTTTGTGCCAACCTTGCTTTCCAAAATACTCCAGACACAATACACCAACGGATTGGTATCCGGAGATCTTGGTGGCCATTCTGCGCTGGAAATGAAGCACGGCACCTCATTTTGTAACTATTCTTGGGTGGCGCGTGCTGAGTGCGATGGCCTTCAAACGACCAATGAAACCGTCACACGCTACCCGAATGTTTCCCTGCGGTATTTTGGCCCATTCCTGGCGAAACGCTTGCTTGAGGCGATCGACACTTTGGTATTTTTAGTGCCATCCTTGCTTTCCAAAAAACTCTAGACACAATGGTTCAACGGATTGGTATCCGGAGATTTTGGTGGCCATTGTGAGCTGGAAATGAAGCTAGGAACCTCATTTTCTAACCATTCTTGGGTGGCGCGTGCTGAGTCCTGTTGGAATGTCCAAGATCTGCGGCCAAAATGTTTGCGTGCCCAAGGCTTTAGTACATCCTCCAGAATATTTTTCGCGATAATATTCGGCATTTATTCTGATGTCACGGTCGATTAATACGAGCGGAGAGCAACC